CCATATACAACATGAGGAGAAAGATCTTGCAAGGAGCCAAAGTTGGCATTTTTTATATTGATGCTGAAATTGCTAAGGCACGTGAGCTTGAGTTGGCTCCAAAGAAAGGGCTCCTAGCGTGGTCTGATGCTCCATGTTCTTCTGATTCTGGTTCCGAGATTTCAGACATCGAAGAGGAATCGAAAAGCGATGATGCCGAAAATTAAGCTGGGGAAGATGTTGAGTCATCGGTTGAACCGGCTACTCTCCCGGGGATATGGATAATTCTCTTCCTCCCGATTCCAGTGATGTTGTAGCTTAGCTTTTTCTTTCCCTGTTTTGTATTTCTTTTGGTGCATTCTTGTAAATGAAGACATATTTTTGCTCAAATGTTTGATCGAGTCTTACTTTTGCTTGAATGCCTGCGCATATTTTCCTGTATGTGGTCTTGGGTGCATTTTCTTCAATGCACTTCTGTCTCCGAGAATTATCCCTTTTACATGAGGGTTTCAATAAGTATTTGTGCAAGTTTGGTTTCTCCATCTTTTTTATATGTGGCTTCGTATGTATTTTTCTCCGATAGCATTTTTGGTTTCCGGAATATATTCATCCGGAACTAACTATTTAACAGGAGGGTTTTTATAAGTATTTGCACAAGTTTGATTTCTGCGTCTTTTTCATATGTGGCTTCGAGTGTATTTTTTTCCGATAGCATTTTTGGTTCCGGGGATATATTCTTCCGAAACTAACCCTTTAACAGGGGGATTTTTATAAGAGGGCCCTCTTATGTTTACGGTGCTCTTGAAGAGGACGCTTCCTGTTCATTGCGGCACTAACATCACTAACATTTGAAGTACTTGTTTAACTTTCAAATGACAAAATTAGCTCATCGTACAAACAAGAAACAAGATAAGAGCAAAAGGATTTTATTTTATTCCTTCTGTTTTCATAGTTTACATAGGCATTTTGCTATGTAGAAAAGAAGTTGCCATGACTTGTGGCTATCTTGTATAACTTATTTTTTCGGGGCTGGCTGTGCAGTCCCCGGTCCTGATGATGCGTGGCATTCAGTGTTTTGTTGCCAGATTTTCGTTCCCGCTTGACATGGCATTTAGTGTTGCCTTGCCAGATTTTCGTTCCCGGTTGATATGGCATTTAGTGTTGCTTTGTCGGATTTTTGTTCCCGGTTGATGTGTCATTCAATGTTGCCTTGTAATCATATCATTATCCCCCCAGTGTTCTAATGGAAAAATGTGAGTTGGAGCACTTGAAGTCTTGTATCTTCAAAGGTTCTACCGATGAATTGCTGCGTAACCCTTCGCTTGGTAACGTTTTTAGCTTTCCCCTTAGGAATTCATGCTGTTGAGCGAAAGAATACCTAACAATCCTCTAGTGGTGTATGTTCGTGAATGATCATGTAACCTTTTTTTGGTAGCAAACTTAACTTCCCGGTGGGAATTTGCTACCGAAGCAAAGATTACCTTATCGTCGCCGAGTGGAGACTTATTTTTTTGCCTTGTCATCAAAGGTCTTATTACTGCTGTTTTTGTAGTATGCTTGTGGTCGCTGCTTCATTAAAAACCTTGCTTGAAAAAATCCAATTGGGATACAAAAGCAGAACGAAGGATAAAAGAGTGCAACACAAACTTTCCGTTTGAGTGTTGTTTCTCAACATTAAGTTTTTTTAGATGAGCTACGTTCCAGTTGCTAGGCAACTTGTCTCCGTTGCGATTTTCCAACTCGTATGACCCTTTACCGATGATAGCCAAAACACGGTAAGGGCTTTCCCATGTAGAGGCTAGTTTGCCAGCGTTGAGTTCTCGGGTGTTGTGAGTCACCTTCCTCAAGACTAAGTCCCCCACTTTAAAATAATGAAGGTTGGTTCTTTGATTGTAATACCGCTCCATCCTCTGCTTTTGAGCTGCCATTCTTACATGTGCTAGGTCTTTACGTTTCTCGATCAGTTCTAAGTTGATTAGTGTTGCCTCGTTGTTTGATTCTTCATTTGCCTGGGAATACCTTAAAGTGGGCTCCCCTACTTCCACCGGTATCAAAGCTTCTGCGTCGTACACAAGGAAAAAAGGGGTTTCTCTTGTGCTTGATTTGACCGTTGTCTGGTAGGCCCATAGTACCCCCGATAACTTTTCGGGCCAGCGACCTTTTGCTGCTTCAAGCCTTTTCTTTAGATTTTGCACAATTATTTTGTTTATCGACTCCGCTTGTCCGTTTGCGCTCGGATGGTAAGGTGAAGAAGTAATCCTTTTTATCTTCATATTTTCAAGGAACTTTGTAACTTTTGCGCCGATAAACTGTGGCACGTTGTCGCATGCAATCTCCTTCGGTATTCCGCACCTGCATATTATATTTTCCCACAGGAAGTTGACCACTTCGCGTTCTCCGATGTTTTGGTAAGGACCTGTTTCCTCCCATTTGGAAAAATAGTCAGTCAAAACTAAAAGAAATCTTACCTTTTCCGGAGCCGGTGGTAGCGGTCCGACGATGTCCATCCCCCATTTCATGAATGGCCATGGGGACAGAATTTAATATAGTGGTTCTGCTGGTTGATGTACTAGTGGTGCGTGGCGTTGACACTTATCACGTTTTCGTACAAAGTCCTTGGCATCTAGTTCCATACGGGGCCAATAATATCCTGCCCTGACTAATTTCAACACCAAAGAATCCGTGCCCGAGTGGTTGCCTTATACTCCTTCATGGACTTCTCTCATGACATAATTGGCTTCTGATGTACCTAAGCACCGGGCCAACGGGCCTTGAAAGAATTTTCTGTACAATTGGCCTTTCTTGAAGCTATAGCATGCGACTTTGGCGCGCAACGCTCTCGTTGTTTTGGGGTCTTCGGGCAACTTTCCATGCTCGAGGTAATTAATTATCTCGTTTCTCCAGTCCCAGACCAGACTAGTCAAATTTACCTCGTAGTAACCATCTGTGTCTAAGGCTGAGTTTATCAGTTATATTACCGTACCTGACTCTTATCCTCAGATTTCTGTTGATGAGCCCAGATTTGCTAATACATCTGCTTCTGCATTTTCTTCCCTCGGGATGTGGGTTATTGACCACTCCCGAAATCGTGACAATAAGGCATTAACCTTTACCACGTATTGTTGCATTCGCTCATCTTTGATTTCAAAATTTTTGTAGACCTGATGTACCACTAGTTGCGAGTCACATTTGATGTTGATGGCTTTAGAGTCGAGCCCCCGGGCCAATCCGAGCCCTGTAATCAAAGCTTTATATTCTGCTTCATTGTTAGTTAAAGTAACCGTCCTGTGGCTTGCCTTAAGGTTTCCCCCGATGGTGTGACCAGGACTATTCCGAGCCCGGGCCCTTTCACATTAGAAGCTCCGTCTAACCCCGATGCCGGCTCTGACACCATTATTGCTTCTTTGGCAGCTAGGGGCAATAACCCAGGGCTGAAGTCGGCTACGAAGTCAGCCAAGACTTGTGACTTAATCGCAGTCCTTGGCTTATACTCTATGTCAAACTCGCTCATTTGAACGGCCTATTTGTCTAATCTACCCAAGAACTCGAGTTTATAGAGTATGTTCGTCAGAGGAAAAGCATTCACCACCGCTATCTGGTGGCATTGGAAGTAGGGCCTCAGCTTCCGGGCGGCTACCACGAGAGCTAAGGCCACCTTTTCCAGATGTGGGTAGCGAGTTTCTGCTCCCGTTAAAATTTTACTAACGTAATATGTGGGGAATTGCGTACCGTTTTCCTCCCGGACCAAAACTACGCTTACCGCAAATTCTGAGACCATCAGGTAGACCAACAATGCTTCTCCTTCTTTAGGTGTCGAGAGTAACATAGGGCTTGACAAGTATTTCTCCAATTCATTCAAGGCTTGTCGACACTCTGGCGTCCGCACGAAGTTGTTTTTCTTTTTGAGCAGTGCAAAGAAGCGATGACACTTTTCTAATGATCATGAAATGAACCTACTCAAAGCTACTAATATGCCTGTGAGTCTTTGTACTTCCTTAACATTGAATAGTTGATCTGGGATGTACTCTATGGCCTTGATTTTGTCGGGATTCACCTCAATTCCTCTTTGTGAGACCAGGAATTCTAAGAATTTACCTGAACCAACCCCGAACGCACACTTCTCGGGGTTAAGCTTCATATTATGCTCCCTCAATGTGTCAAATGCTTCTTGTAGATGCCTCAAGTGGTTACCTGAATGCAGAGACTTAATGAGCATAACGTCTATGTATACTTCCATAGTTTTTTGTATTTGTTTTTCGAACATCTTATTTACGAGTCGTTGGTAAGTGGCTCCAGCATTTTTTTAGTCCAAAGGGTGTTATGTTGTAATAATATGTACCAAAATTTGTTATAAATGAAGTCTTTTCCCGGTCTTTCGGGTTCATCTTGATTTGATTGTATTCGGAATAGGCATCGAGGGAACTCATTAACTTGTGCCCGGCCGTAGCGTCGATCATTTGATCGATATTTGGCAATGGGAACGAGTCCTTCGGGCATGCCTAATTAAGATCTTTATAACCTATGCAAATGAGAAATTTGTTGTTCTTCTTAGGAACTACTACCATATTAGCTAGCCAGTCTGGATATCTTACCTCTCGGACTGAACCAATCTTAAGTAGACGGGTTACCTCCTCTATGACGAATTTATTCCTTGCTTCGGCAATAAGGCGCTTCTTTTTCCTTACCGGAGGTATGCTCAGGTCCAAGCTTAACTTCTGCACGGCTATCTCTGTTGGGATTCCTTTCATATCCTCATGCGACCATACAAAACAATCGACGTTAATTTTAAGGAATTCAATAAAATCTGACCTGAGCTCCATATGTAGTTCTGTTCCCAAATAGAATTTCCTTTCTGGGAATTTTTCGAACAATGCAACATGCTCTAGCTCTTCTGTCGTGGATTTCATTATATCTATCTCTTTCGATACCTAAAATTACTTTGGTAAATGATATTGCTCCGACTTTCCTGCCCCCGGGGAAACTTCTTCTGGTTCGAGGTTGGAAGTCGGTTTCGGTAACTGTTATGCCGCCGGTTCCTTTCCCTTACTATGGGAGACTGAGATCGCATTCATCTTTCTTGTTGCCGGTTGGTCACCTCTTATCTTCTTAATCCCCTCAGGTGTTGGAAATTTCAGCGATTGGTGGTACGTTGAAGGCACAACTTTCATCTCGTGCATCCATGGCCTTCCCAGGATGATATTGTAGCTCATGTCTCCATCTACTACTTCGAAGAGATCCGTCTTTATTACGCCCTGGACATTTGTGAGCAGTAAAATTTTCCCTTGGGTTGTCACGCTTGCGAGGTTGAATCCAGCAAGGAGCTTTGTCGCCGATATGATGCTCCCGGCGAGTTTAGCTTGATCCAGAACTCTCAATTGTATGATATTAGTGGAACTTCCTGGATCCACTAAAATATGTTTAATTTTAAAGTTTAACACATTTAAAGAGATTATCAGTGCGTCATTATGTGGTAGTAGTAGTCCGTATGTATCTTCATTTATGAACGTGATATCGTCTTCCCGGAGCCTCTTGCTATGGGTTGTTAAAATTGTTGTCTTCTTTGCGGACGAAAAGGTGATCCCATTAATCTCATCCCATCCGAAGATCATATTGATCGTTTGGCGTGGAGGTTCCTCTCCTAGTTTTGAGGTTTGCGCTTCGCCCCTGTCCCGACCATAGTTGTTTTTGGCTCAGGCATTTAATAATTCTCTAAGGTGACCATCCTTTAACAGCGTTGCCACTTCTTCCCGGAGGTGCCAGCAGTCCCCAATCCGATGGCCATTAGTGTTGTGGTATTCACACCATACATTTGGGTCCCTCTGGCTGGGATCAGACCTCATATGTCTCAGGAATCATGCCTATTTGATATCTCTCATGTCCGACACTAACTCCACCATGCTGACATTGAAATTATACCCTGATAACTTTGGATAAGAAGAACCTCGTGGTCCCGAGATTTATCTATTTTGCAGTGATCTGTTGTTCCGCCCACGATCGGTCCTCCTGTCAATGGTGAACTTGTCCGATGTCCGGAAGCTCATGTCACGACCTTCCATTCGCTCGTAGGGAAGAAACTGGCCCCTTGAAACTGGTCTATGTGAGTCGACATCGTCATTTATTTTTTCTTTGTTCTTCTCCCGTCCCTTTCCTGATGACGGGAAGTCAACCTGATCGTCTTCGATCCTTTTCTTTGACTCGTACCGGTTATGGACATCCGCCCAAGTTGTTGCTTGAAACTCGAGCAGACTTTCCTTCAACTTCCGGGAAGCATCTGAACTCCTCGGGTTCAAACCCTTAGTGAACGCTTCGGCTGCCCATTTATCCGGGATGGCCGGTAGCAAATCCTTTCCTTATGGAACCGGTTAACGAATCTTCATAATAATTCTGATTCTCCCTGCGCGATCCTGAATATGTCAGCTTTTCGGGCTTGTACCTTTCTAGCACCGGCATGGACTTAATGAACGAATCCGCGAGCATTTCGACGGAATCTATGGAATGCTCGGGCAATAATAAGTACCATGTAAAGGCTCCCCTCGTGAGAGTCTCACCAAATTTCTTCAATAACACGAACTCAATTTCATGAGGAGCCAGATCATTTCCTTTTGTTGTCGTTGTGTAAGTGGTGATGTGCTCCTGTGGATCTGAGGTCCTATCGTATTTTGGCACTTCGGGCATCCTGAATCGTTTTGGGATGAATTCTGGGGCCGCATTCTGTTTGTATGGTAATTGGATGTACTTCTTCGAGTTCGGGCCTTTCAATACTAGGGCCTTTCAATTTGGTCCATGCAGGCGTTTACTTCCTTCATGAACCGCAAGAGTTCTTCTTTGAATGGATCGTTATCGCTGTTGAGGCCAGATCTACTCCCCCAGCCCCGTCAGAGCCAACTTCTCCCCTGGGAGTGCTATTGTCGATTCTCTACGTTGTTTGGTTCGTAGGAACAACGGGAGGAACTAGATCTCGCATGTTTGAATTATTTGAAGCGCCTGATAACGCATGTTTTAACTCCTTCATCACCTTATCCTGCCGTGTGAGGTGGCCTAGGATGATTGCTTGTTACTCTTGCAGGATCCTCACAGTGTCTGCTACGTGCCCCTGGTCAGCATCATCTGGAGTCGCTTCCCGTACTCGTCTGGGGTACTTCCCGTCATACACCGACGTGGCATCTTCTTCCTTATTACGAGTGTCGCTGATTGAGTCCTCAAGATGGGGGTGTTCCCCCTTAAACCTCAGAGTTGCAAGTGTTATTAATGGTAATGATTGCCATTTTCTGTGATTTTGTTAAGACAAGAACAATCAAAGCTTGTGAGTGAAAGAGGTAAGGATCGATTTAACCACATGACTGTCTAGTCCCCACGGCGCCAAACTGTTTACTCGGAAAATTGGTACAGTTGAATTTGTTCGTGATTTCTAGACAGATGAATCAATTTGATCCCAAAATATAATGAATCAGTCAATTTGGATGCAAGATACTTAGCTTAAAATGCAGATGGAACTATAGATCTGATGAGCCTGAGAATAGAGTCTCCGGGCACAATGATGATTAGATTAACAAGCTAGAGAGAGAGAAAAATAGTATCAAGATGTTGTATTAGAATCTCTGCTTTGATGTCCAGAAAATCCTCTTTTACAATGATAGTTGAGCCTATTATTTATAGCTCAGTAGGCGTAGTGGTTGGGCTCACCACTAATAACAATTACTGAAGTGCGATGATGGAAACCTAACGGTAAATATAAAAGCCCAAATTCCTATAATGAGTCGTTACTCTTTAATGCTATGGAATATTCTTCATTAAATGCTACCGGGTGCAGCATGCTTAATGCCTTTATGGTCCTGCCTTTCTCGGTGACACACGGGGTAGACGTGCCCGATTTTCTATCCTCCAGGCTTTGATTCCACGTGTCTCCTTCTTTGGTGGCCACGTACCGTAACGTATTTTATCCAATACAACCGCCATCCAATATGAAAAAAGAATTTTTCACGTGTTGGGTTCATAAAAAAGAATTAACATAAAATGGTACACACTTCAATATGAGTCACCGTGAACACGACTACTTGTAAACCCTTTACTAAATGCGTATTTCAAATATAAAAAATCACATGTATTCGGCATGATTGCTTGTTGCCTGTAACGACCCGGTCGGTCATTTTGACTATTGCAATTCCGTTCCCCCATTTACTGCTCAAATTATGAATTACAGTTATTATTTGGCTTGCCGGGGTAATTGGTTTGGGTTTGGTGAGGTTTTAAGATGATTTGGAGCGCTTAGTTCCAAGGTTTAGAATTTAAGTTGAAAAGGTTGACCGAATGCTAACTTATGTGTAACGACCTCAGAGAAATGTTGTTAAGGAAATTAAGTTTTGGTGGTACCGAGGTAGATCAATTAGTACAAATATTGGCTCGGACTTTTTGGGTTGAACAATGCACCGATGTGTAAAGAAAAATTTTGTCGAAAAATGGTCATTTCTGCGACTACTATGCGGTGGCAGAATCACTCTGCGGACCGCATAATGGTCGCAAAGTGGAGCAGGAGGAGGGCAAGATTAGGAAAATTTGCGGTGCACTATGCGACCGCAGACCTGTTTTGCGGTGCATTATGCGACCGCAGAATAAGTATGCGGACCGCATAATGGTCGCAAAGTGGAGCAGGAGGAGGGCAAGATTAGGAAAATTTGCGGTGCACTATGCGACCGCAGACCTGTTTTGCGGTGCATTATGCGACCGCAGAATAAGTATGCGGACCGCATAATGTCCGCAGAACAGGTCAGTAACGCCCAACTTTGGAGGCCAAATTATGCGGTTAGTATGCGGACCGCATACCTGTTATGCGATCGCATATGTGACCGCATAACTGCGTCGGAGCTTCCATTCTTTCTAATTTTTGACCCGAACCAACTTCGATTTATAGCCCTTGAAGCTAATTTTTGAGCCAAAATCCGATATTTTAGAGCGAGGTGAGAGCATTTTAGAGAGAGAAAGTGAAGACTTAGACATTTATCCATCAATTCTTGTTCAAGGTTTGAAGATTTCACAAGGATCTTGCTAGGGCTTCAAAGAGGTAAGAATTTCTTTCTCTAATTCTTCAATTTCGGGTTTGGAGTAAAGATGGGTGATTAATATTATGATTCTTGGGTGTAGAGTATCATATATACATACCATTAAGGTTGTGGAAAGATTGTTAATTTCAAATCGGTAAGCATTGGGTTGTAAATGGTAGAAATTTTCATAGAATTTAATTGAAGATTTGAGGGTCGAGTTGGTGTCGGATTTTGGTGAAATTTATATGGTTGGACTCGGATTTCAGAGTCTTATACTGTGTATTGTGACGCGTCGCGTATTGGTCTCGGCGCAATGCTGATGCAAGACGATAGGGTGATTGCCTATGCGTCCAGACAGCTAAAGGTACATGAGAAAAATTATCCAGTCCACGATCTTAAGTTAGCAGCTATTGTACATGCCTTGAAAATTTGGCGGCATTACTTGTACGGTGTCCAGTGTGAGTGGTATATCGATCATCGGAGTCTACAACATTTGTTTAAACAGAAGGATCTTAACTTGCGGCAGCGAAGGTGGTTGGAGTTGCTAAAGGATTACGATATCACCATTCTCTATCATCCCGGAAAGGCCATTGAGGTGGCCGATGCCTTGAGTCGTAAAGCAGAGAGTTTGGGCAGCTTAGCATACTTACCGGTAGCAGAGAGGCCTTTAGACTTGGATGTTCAGG